TGTCAAAATGTTTCATCAAACTAAGAATTGGGAAGCGACTATTGCTGCAAGTGGAATTTATGATTCATTAGCTAATAAACTCCTGGCTTGTTTAAGTGATTGGGGTATTGACAATTCATATAAAAGGATAATTTCGATTAGACCAGATGAGTGTGCATGCCCCATGAAATGCTTGAATTATTGAATTTCTCAATTAGTCTATGAATACTAGATTGATGCAAATGCTCAGTTAATGGCAACTATCAAACATGAACTTTGAACAACAAGCATTTTGATGTTTCAGTTTTTTGGCGTCTTCCTTCCAAATATGACAGTCCCAAGTTCGTTTAATTTAGCTGTTATTTGCCACTATACCCTCATATACAACTACCGTTATTCGGTTGCTCAAGATTCCATGAGATGCGTGTCTATAGATTATTAATTGCGAATCATTGGTTATTGGTTTCATTCTCAGAAAAGTCAGTATTGGTTTTATGCCTACGCTTGTATGGTCACGCTTCTTCATCATTCCTATAATCGGATGCATTTCGCAGGTTGTTTTCGTATCGATTCGATCATTTCTCAAATTAAATTTACACAAATGCAGTGAATTTTTGGTGCATTTGCAGGAAATGTTCTCAGTCTCTCATGGGTATCGCAATTGAACAATGACAAGTTGCATATAAGCACATACTTCATTCTAACGCACTTACTTCACGGAAGGTTTTAACACGCAATGGATAAAGCATCAGCATAAAGTTGAGCAGAGCACGATTACAAATGAATCTCAAGCTGGTTATAAACAAATTGATTTTTGTTCATTTAACATCTGCTCACAGTTGACAGAATTTGCTCTGAACTTCAGTGGTCATTTAAAAAGGCGTTTGTACTTACGCCCTTATGGAAGTTAAGTAGACTTTTAATACATTCATCAAAAAATAGACGTTTTATTTAATTTCGCATCATAGAGAGTTGTTCATTTTATTTATAGAAATCATCATTATACTGATTGCAAAGAAGACTTTTTATTAGTGCAAACTGCAAAGTGCTCATGAGATTCAGAGGAAAATTGGGTGTTTGATTGGGAAAAAATTGCTGTTCCTCTCTCATTGCCATCGACAGTTATTAACTATTGAAAGAAAAACCGAATATATCGAATAGAGCTGTTTAACCAATGTCGTATTTATCATTCGTGTATCAAAGTGCCTTCATTAATTCAATGAAGTGTCGGCATTTGATTTCCCCTATGTGATTTCTTTCTTTCTCATTTCTTCTTCGTTGAAAGCTGACTTGTGATTTTTCCCTAGTCTCCTAGAATTGTGACAGTCATAGTATTAATCTCATTTACTGAGAGCCGTTCGGTTGAAGCGGGTGGCATACTTCGTTGAAGCATGCTTGCTAATCGCCGTCAGCCATGGATCGAAAGATTCCTTGGCATTGCTCTGAATTACTCTACAAGATATGTTGCTTTGTTCCTTAACGGCTCTTCACTTTTTGATTGTTTTTTTTTGTGTTATGACATTTGTTATCGCATTATTTCCGAATGCATTGTAGTTTCTATNGAAGCCAGTGTCTCTACTGCAATACACCAATGCGATTTGTTTTCCTATCTCAGAGTTCGGCTTGCACACGAGTTTGTTGATGATTTGGAGCAAAAATGAGTCTCGTTTGAACGTGTAATAATCGTCAAAACCTTGCTTCTTCTCCGTCCAGTCTATCGTCCATCGCCAAGAAAAGCTGCCCTTCCCTGACAAAACATACACTTGGTGTGTTGTCCTCAGTTTGGAGGCATAATAATTCTGTATCAGTAAAACAGGTGATGATGGTGTGGCACAATTGATCCATGAAACGGAAGCACAAACGTGAGACTTGAGCGCAACTTTTGAGTAAACAGACACAATCATCTAGAGAGTTCAAGTGAACTGCACGAAGAGGATTAATAATGTGGATAGGGTTGGAATTTTGTGGTTGATAAAATGTGATTACATGAAATCACGAGAAATTCTAGAAGTCTAGTATTGTCTGGACAATGATTATAGTAGCGGCACATAATTAATGTACGATGGATGTTCTTCATGGATCATGCAGTGCGCATGAGATTTGATGTATGGTTGTGGGCATGAACATACGAGTTGAACAGTGCTTCTGATAGCGACCTTATGCGATATGAATTATTATGTTCTGATCAATCGTTCCATGTCGATCATCAATGTCCAAATAGATTCATGCAAAGATGTCATATCACTTGATCACCAAAAACGTCAGTATTCGATCAAGAACTAATGAAAAACGTCAGATCGCGTCATCGAAACCGATTCAGAAGTTGAATTTGTAGAATGGAGCTGACGATGCTACCGTTTATTGGAGTGACATTCATGTGCGCGAATGCTCTCCGCTGTTATCATGGCGCAAATGTGGCACTTCCGGGCACCAGTCTGAAGAAGGCAACTCAAGTACTTGAGTGTGGCCCATTTGCATCATTCTGTCGCCGTGCCTATGGCTTGATCAATGGCGAGCAAGGATGGATATTATCCTGTATGGTGAATACATCGCTGGGTGCTGAATATTGCCTAGTGAGTGTACTGATTTTCATTTCCTTTTGTTGGTTTTACATATTAAATATGGAGTTCGAATGTGGTTATTTAACGCTTGAGTAGAATATTATGAGGCGTTGCAACGAAAAGAGGGGAATTTGGCAATGGAAAATTGTAAAAGAAGTCTATCGGTGTTAAAATTTTCGTTGACAAGAATTATCACAAAGTAATGATTCAGTCATCTGTCATTTCGCTTGATTTCACCAAGTCACGAATCGTGAACTAACATTAATTTGCGAAATAGAGTCTCTCTCTAATCCAGGAGTTCCTATAGAGGAGGGAGGGGTTGGGAATTAGCTCCATGGAGGTAATTTGTGAGAATCACTGGAATGGTGGAGGAGGTCAAGAAATTAGTATTCCATGCGGCTGTTACATTGCGATAGAACATCATTGTGATGTCTTTTCACATTGGTATGCATGCACGGTTCGCTCGTGACAACGCGCTTATTTCTCCTGTTTTGCGAGTATCGTTAGCCCGTTTGGGTCTAAACAAAAGTCAATTAAATTATTCACAGATATTCTCGAAGTTGATCAACATATTGACTGAGAATTAAGTTAATTAATACACTGGCTTATTGTCCTTAAAAGCAGCGGGGATTGATTGAGAACTAATATTTGGTGGATTTATTTTGTTACGATGAATTGCCATTATGATGGTGCTTTTCCCACTCGGGTATCTAAACGCGGATTGCTCATGGCAACACTTGTTTATCTTGTTTTCTGAGTAAACTTTTTGAATTGTGAGAATAGGAGCCGTAGCAATCGATTGAGCTCTTTGGTATAGCAAAACAGATCTCTAGTTTGGTGCGAAACGAGCGAGTATTTTTGAGTTTATCGACTGTTATTATTCGGTTACATTGAATAGTTTTAGTGAGTTCATTAATTAGTGCATATAATGGGATTTTTGCCTAGTGAACGACTTTTTTGACGAAGTAACTGCTCAATTGTGTCATAGGTATCTGGTTCATGACGAATGTGTGTGTATTGGGACTCTAGATTAGAAACTGTCTTTCATATTTATGACTAAGATGCTTAAGTATGTTGCTGCTTTCAGCCGTTTTCCAAAATTGCATTCGTGAATATTTCACAGTGAAGAAACAATCATGAATTCGTAAGTAAAGTTCTAAATATACGTGTTTCATTCCAAAAAATTAACTGCTTTCACGCCCATGAAGAATTTCTTGATCGGTTTCTCATTTGTTCTTGGCGTTGTGCGTCGAAACTAGTAAATTCTTGTAGCAGGAGGGGGGAGAGGTAATGACGGCCGACCAGATCATCAAAGGTAGTGATGGAGCACCCGAGCGCGGGAACCACTGCTCTAATCCGTTCCTGTAATGAAATTTTTCCTCTTCGATTCGATTCCATCCTTTCGACCAGCCGTTTTACGGTCATCAAGAGAAAATTGCACCATGAAACAATCTGTAACTGACTGTGCTCACATCGTTAACTTTTCCCGAGCTACTAACTCAATAAATAAGTGAATTAATTAGATTTTCCATTCACTGTTGTCATACAAGATTTTCACTCTTGATAATGTGAATCTGGCATTCTCTATTTCGGTGTACTTTTGCATTCATCAATCAGTGTATTGGCGTAAAGATGAGGAAACCGTGAAGCAATATGAATTATATCAACACAAAGTGTCATGTTTCCTAGAGGCACTCTTTTGATCCTCGATCTCCAAAGATCACTACTAATTTTTCGAATGAGCTGCTAATTGAATTCTTCATGAACAAGTGACCAATGTTCATTTCATTAACAAGCACCTATATCTATATAAAGCGCTGAATTCAATTGAGTGCATGCGAAAATGCTATTTCATGCTCATCGACGAACCATAAAAATGGATTTGCTTTGAGTGCCCGTTTTTTCTTGATATGCAACAACCGAATTAGAGCCTGATGTAAGCAGTCAACCGCGATTATTATTGGTCACGAATTGATCAATTGAAATTTTCATTCCCAATTAACGTTCATTCGTTCGATCCTATCGCTGTTTTTTGCACAATTCAACCTTGTTTGCGCACGCACCGTTTTACGATGGTTTTCTTATGCAGTCAANTTCCATCGTAAATACTCGTTCACGCATTCAAATTGAGTGTTCATTTGAATGCCTGAAGCCCAATTCGAATGAAAATTTCACGATCAAGTAGTCCGTAAGTGAAATCAGTAGTACTTCGTTTGAGTGCGCGAATATCGCACTTGTTGCCAGCGATCACACAATTCTTCCTGCAAAATGATCTTATAGCGGAAGTCGATGAAGCACGTGAACCTGGGTATGTCATTTTCTCAAAAGTTTGTCCGTTCACTGAAATTGATTCAAACAGTAGAATATGCGTTTAATATCAACATATCGATGCCGATAAAAGCGCATTTCCCCTAAACCACACATCCGCAATACTGACATCATATTGGTCGTTTCTCTCGGGATCTCATCTGAATTTGAAACGGATCTTGAACAGATAATTTCAAAGTGTATTTTGCTTCTGTTATACGCAAGTAAGGTAAGCGGAATGCACCAATATCCTCATTCAACGGAATTCTTCGCGTAAAGACTGAATTTGGTTAATTGCACGACTTCAAGAACGAAAGGGAATGAGTGACCTTTTCAAGATTTACAACTACTGTGATCGCCCGTGATTAAACAATCTTCGAAATGTAACGAACATAGCAGCTCGAATAATTCACTATTTGGGGAAATTTGATGATGTCATTCAGTTTAGGTAGAGACTAACCTTGCGATGTAAGCAGAATATTTTTTTTTGCGGTGATAACCAATAATCATTTTAATGAGCAGTATGTGAAATTCTAAACTGTAATGACAGCAACTAACTGATGGCTACACTCACAGAAAACCGATCGAGAGCGAACTCGATAAAAAATTACTGTGATAACATTGGAAACCATGACAAACACGATGATTCAGGGATAAATTAGTGTCTTTTTGCACCCACCAGTATGATTAATAATTGATCGCTGTGCACTTTTGAACATATCCATGTTAATGTCATATTGCGTGTGACTATGTTATTTTGAATTATGTTTTAAAGACAGTTAATGCCTATCGTAATATTTGATAAATGCGTGGTTGAATGAATGGAAAATAAATGAATTTGTATGGATGCTGACCTACCTCATCAGTTAATTTTACTTCAAATTTAATGGACTGCTTATGAATTTATGTGGATGAAAGATGTGTTAGTTCAACCAAACTGTAATCATTTAACAATAACATTTTCAATTTCAGAATGGAACGCAATGCAGAGAGGTCATTTCGGAGAACACTGAACAACGATCGTATTTTATGGATTGCTGTTGTGCAACGAATAAGTGCAATAATGAAAGTTTGAGGTCTAAGTCAGAAAGTATTGATTTCCTAAGGCTAACGAATTCTTTTAGAACAGGACGGGGATATTCTCCGGAGGCTTCGTATTATGTATATATCGTAATTGCATTACTTTTTCTTGATACGGGCGAATGAAATGTTCAACAAGCTCAGAGGCGACATCAGCGGCATCCCAAATGGACATAAAAGCGAGAAAATTAGTTTTTGACGAACCGGTTTGGTCTAGAGGCGACATGAGGAACAATACAGATGTGT